TGATTGGATGCCATTGAGAAGATAATAACAGTGAAGGCGGGTTAAGGGAACCAGGGTATGGGTATTGTATTTTAAATATGGTGGCCAAGAATGGTCTGCTTGAGAGGATGACTTTTGAGCAAGACTTAAAGGAGATGAGGGAGCCAACCATACTGATGGCTAGGGGAGGAGTAATCTAGGTAGGAGGAATGGCAAGGAAAAGGCTCTGAGGCTGTAGGAGGCTTGGCATGTCTGACACACAGTAAGCAGAATGAGCAATGGGTAGACTGAGAAGAGACATATGAGAGCATCTTAGATCCAGACTGCACCTTGTTGGGCATATTACCTTTTTGGAATGAGCTGGGAGGCAGTTGGAGGGTTTAGTAAAAGAAGGTCCTTTTGGCTATATGAAAATAGATTAAAAGAGGGGAAGGGCAGAAGCAGGAAAAGCATTTAAGATCTAATGCAACAGCCTTGCCATGATGTAATTGGCCTAGACCAGGATGACAATAATGATATAGTATCAGCATCAGATTCTGGTGATACTTTGAAGGCAGAGCTTATCAGATGTTCTTAGAAATTGGATTTAGGATGGAAGTAAAAGAGAGGAGTCAAGGATAAGTCCAAAGTTTGGACTCTGAGCTATTGGAAGAACCCAGTTGCCATTAACTGAGATTGGTGAAGACTAGGGAAAGTAGGCTTGGAGTGCAGAGAGAGAGGGGAATGGACTAGGAGTTCTGTTTTGTACATATTAAGTTTAAGAGGCCTGTTTACATCTACGTGGTAATAACTAGTGCACGGTAGGATATACATGGATGGCATCATGAGAGAAATCCAGCCTGGAGATAGGACTTTTAGTACTAGAATTTCGGGGATATTGAAAGCCATAGGACAGGATACAATAATCAAAGGAATGAGAGTAAGTAGAAAAAAAGATGTCCCAGGATTGAGCCTTGAAGCTTTCTGCAAGTAAGTCAGGGAAATGAGGAGGAGCCTGCAGGGTAGACCAAGAAGAGGAGTAACTTTAAGGTGGAAGGAAAAGTAAACACATGTGCTGGAATCCAGGTAAAGAAAGTATTTCAATGAGGAAAGAGTAGGTAATTATGTCAAATGATTCCAGTATCCAACTAAAATGAAGGCTGAAAATTGACTGTCCCACAGCTTGGAAGCCATTTTTTATTTCACTGAGCATTTTTGAGGGTGCAGTCAGAGGAAAAACAAACTCTATGGTACTCAAGACAGTGTGGGAAGAGAGAAATTTTGAGAAAGCTAATGGAGGCTACATTTATTTTAGACCTTTTCAGTTAAAGAGAACAGAAAAGTGGGCCAGGAGTTCCAGGGAAAGTTTCAAAGGAGATTTCATTGTGGTTCTTTTGTTTTCAGTAGGAAGAAATTTCAGCATGCTTGCACTCCACGTTGGGTATTATCTGTATTCACCCTTCCCCAATTTTCCTCTTTCCTGGACACACAGGGAGACCAACTTTTTAATCAGTTGTGTTATGTGACTAGCATCTAATCAATGAAATGTGAAGAAAAATAATGTATCACTTCTGCTCTGAGGCAGTTCAAAGTATATATGGGTTCTTCATGTTGTTTTCTGTCCATTTAACTGGTGTCAGAGAACACCAAATAGTAGAACTGCAACCTAAGTCCCTGAGTCACTATTAGAGAAGAGTCATCTGACTTAAATTAATGACATGAATGAGAAGCAAAGTTTTATGTTAAGCCTTTCCAGTTTGGTGTTTGTGTTTATCTGTTACCACAGCATAGCTTAGCTCATGCTGACTAATACTTGGGCTGATGGAAAAGTTTCAAAAGAAAAAAAAATCTTAATGATACAGGAAACAGAAAACCTTTGCACAACAAATGTCATTGAGTATTTGAGAGAAAATGAGACCTACTAACTAGTTGGGCAAACTCAACTTAGCAAGACACATCTTTTTCTGAAAATGAAGTTGAACTGGAGGATCTCTGAAGTCCTCTCCTAGCCTGTAGGTTTTGGTCCTTGAACTTTTCTAGGTTCCTGCTGGAGGGAGAGAAGAAATCTTGCTGATCAGAAAGAGGAAAGATGTTGGATTGAGATTTAGGGAAAGAGAAAAGAAAAAGAACTATAGGATTTCAAGAGGAGTGAGTTTACTCCTCTAACTTCTCTTTGTAAATATTCTCTGACTTTTCAGAAATGGGCTCACAAGAGTGCACAGGTGCTGACCGCTAAAGAACTATAGAACCTTTGGGCTCTTTGATAAGGCAGATTGTAGAAGAAACAGATCATTGCTCACTAACCATTTTAGAAGGTGCTAGGATTAAAAAAAAGGATTTTACATTTAATGACCTCAATTTCAGTAGGATTGTTCAGGGAGTAACAATACTGGTTACCAACTTGGCTTGCAGAGCTGCTCTTCAGATTAATGAAATGTAATATGTTAAACTTCTTGGAAGGATGGTGCTATATAAACAGAAGGTGTTATTATTCCCATAAAAGGAAAGCACAGTCTCTCTGATGAAATGGCTCTTACCTCAGAATCCTCATTAAAAACTGTGGTGCAATTTTCCAAGTTGCATTAGTGAGACTTGGCAGCAGATGAAAAAAAAAAAAAAGCAAATAAATAGTAAGTCAAAGTATTCCAGGTAGTTACTTGCTAGGAAGTATGAAGTTTTCAAGTCCTAGAATCATGCTGATAATTTTGAAATGCCTAAAGGCAGAATTTATTTATAGTTATACAAAGGTGACTTCCAGCCCTGAAATCTGGGCTTGGGTATCAAATGAGAGTGCCATAAAGCAAAGCCATGAAAAAGAAGCTAATACTATTGTGATTCCATCTCCGAAGGCTGCTCGATGGAGCTGATACAGAGGAGGGGAAATCTAGTGTGAAAATAGCCACAGCAATAACTAATTTTAAAACTGAAATGCATAAGCTGTTTCCAAACCTCTTACATTTTTTAAATCCTGAGGCCAGTAAGTCCTATTTAAAGAAACTTATGGAGAGATGCGTTCCTCTTTTGGCATAGTAGAAGGAGTTGAGTAGACAAAAATGAAGACATATTTAAAAATTATTTTAAATGACCTGATTTCAAGACCAGGTTTAAAGATTCTTTTTTCTGTACCTATTTATCCCTATATTAATACCAGATGACCATAATAACAACATTTTAAAATGGATTTATAGCGCCTTTGACAGTGTAGTTGTTTGCATTAAATTTTATAAAACTTGTTACCACTGTATCCATTTTAAAACTATTCTTTGTATATGAGTTAAATGTCTCTTACATGTCTTTCTTTTCCCTCTTATGGAGCGTCTTAGGTATTTCAATTAAAATTAATAATAGCTTTAAAGACAGAGTTCAGAGCTATAAAGTTGCTCACTTGATCAGTAATCATAACTATTATTTTGTCATATTTAATCACAGAACCAGAGCCTTTAACAGGATATTTAATTAAACTTTTAATTCATGATAAGAAGTTAAATAGCACTTGGGAGGAGGTTTTTTTAAAATTATTTCCACTTCTCATCCAGATTACCCCCATCCAAAAAAAAAAAAAGGTGTGATAGAAAGACATAATGGCTGTCAGCCAAGGGTATTGTAGGTCATGCCAGCATGAGTTGGCAGCGAGCCATTGTCCAATTAGCATGGCTTCATCGTTGCAGAGTAATCACTCTTGTGTAGATGGTTGAGTCACTCATGATGTAGTGGTGCTTCACTCGAGCCAGTACTTCTTAGAATAGGTTTCTTGTTCGCTGTTATTACCTGCCCTACTTTACCAATAAAAGCACAGGACCGGTTAGGCTGAAAGCCGAACAGAAGAGAAACATCGATTATATATCTCATTTTTCTTTGCTTCCTGAAAACTGAGATTGCAATTAAACAGTGAAAGCATGGTGTGTTTTGTAAATGAGTTACAAGAAAATACAGTTTCTACATCAAAATACTCAGTGTTGCAATCCAAGAGTCGGTTTTTATTCTGTCTTTTCTTTGGCAGCTTTAGCACTTGGCAAAAATGTAAGGATATCAGTAAAGTTACCTAATAATCTTAATAGATTCACATTCCATTCAAAAACTTGGAATGCCACCAAACTGCTTCAGGTTTCAGCTCCATTGTTGGAGTGCCCTTGACATTTCTGGTGGGTATGGAGTTATACAAGCAGACAGCTTTTGAAAGAGACCCTTCTTATGGTGAGAACACCTGGAGCCTGGTTGGACAAGTTGTAAACCAGGAAACTGATTCAGGAATTTCTTAACAAAATGGATGATATCCAGACATTGGAGTGGTGGGTAGTTGTCAGTAGAAAAAGACTGTTCTTAGAAGCACAAAGAACAGAACATTAGTGTTGGCACTAATGAGTTCATACTTTTATGTTCATTCTTGTATGTTTGGGTTATTCATCAAATCACAGGCTAGATAAAGGGTTGGGTGGTTTTTGCTTTCAGGACTAGAGCAATTCAGTAATGGCACTTATGGTTTCCTAATATCTCAGAAGTGTTCTTTTTCCCATTAACTTGGTGCATAAGTAAAATTCATCACTTTGCCATAGATTCCTAAAATATGTTGACAGTCTTTCTAACTGACATTGGCAACACCTTCCAAGTAGCTGGTGATGCAGTGAGCTTTACTGTCTGAGGTGGACTTCTGTGTGCCGCCTGGCAAAGGCAGTGTGTGAAAAAGTGAATGTATCCAGCACCCTGGGTGGGATGGAGCCAGGCCTCCACTATGAGCAAGTTTTTTGACTGACTGGCAGCAAAGAGAAATACTGGCAGCTGTTCCCAAGCAAGCCAAAAGTTGGCCCTGGGGTGAAAAAAATATGCTGGAATTTAGCCAACAGAAGATTCCTGGGTTTAGAAGAAAATCAAAGGAAACATAAAGAAGGTCACAATTATAGCCTTCCAACTTGTTCAAGTAACAACAGTTTTATCTTCTGCTTTATAAAAGACAATATTAAATGTCATTGCTACTCATTCTTTTCTGTTTCTTTTTTTCTTTCCTGTTTTATTTTTGTTCTGTTGATTTTTTTTTATTTTTTTATATGCAAAATCAAATGGCAGATTACTCTTCCTAAAAGTGGTACATAGATGATGTCACTGGAGGCAGCACCAGCAACCAGAGCTAGAGACCAGAGCCGGTCTCTCAGAGCCATGGTCACACATATGCCCAACTGTGTTGAGTGATACAGGGTGGAATGGAATGATGTGTGGAGGTCACATCAAAAATCTATCCAGAAAGGCCCTTAACACCTCACAACTTGCCTATTATTCTTGTTTTATCAGTTATTCAAAGAGAAGTGTGGGGAAAATGGAAAGTTACTAAAAGGTCAGGAAATGTCTGCAGAAAGTCAGGCCCCCTCAAGGTCTTGCCTTACAATCATGAGTGCTCCAGTAAGACAAGATACTTTCATGTATGCATTGTCATTCTTCCTTCCCAACGAACAGCTTGAACTGTGTGGAAATATTTTTTCTGCCAAGTTGAGCTATGGTCGCCTAGGAATTAATTGACTTGTGCCCTACAAATATGAAGGTGGAAAGACTAAAAATGTGCAATACCAAGATTCAGAGCAAGAACTTCATAGTCAGGAAATCAGCAGGGTACTAAGAGGAGCTATCTGAACCACACCTTTTGTAACTCTGGAGACTTTTGGGGTCAGTTATATCCATTATTAGATTAATAGGATGTTCGTGTAGAGAAATGGGATGACCTTTCAAAGTTCTGTTTGACAAAGTATCTCCATGCCACCTATCTCAGACAGTTGATGTTGATTAGATGTTTCTGTTCACTAACAAGAAAAAGTATCCCAGTTACATAGGAGGGACTTTAAAGGAGAATTTTGTAACAGTGCAAGGTGCTTCATACTGAAGTGAAGTATAAAAGTAAATACAGAAAATTAAGAATTTCCTTCAAAGGAATTGAGAAAGAGAGAATGAGATTGAGATTAAAGTAGATATCCAAAAGGACAAGATGACTTAAGTACACCACTTCATAGAAGCAGGGGAATAGAGCCCATGACCCCTTCATATGTCACTTTGGGGAGCAGGGGGGTAACTAAGAAATATAAAGCAAGACCATCTCTTTTAAAGAGCCTACAATATCGTGGAAGAATCAATATAAAACTTTAGAAATCACAAGTAACCAATTCATTGTTGATGCCAAATTGTATTGGCTGTTATTTGTGCTTCAGAAGTTCAGGTGCGGGGAGCAAGGGGCAACAGTGAGGAGGACAGGATTATCCTTCCATCTCCCCCAGGAATTTTAGACCACCTATAACCATTGATTAGGACTTTGTTAGGGAATGCGTGGGGAGAGGTTATTCAGGACAGGATAGCAACAAAGCAAAGGCCCAAAAGAAAGCATTCACAGAGCATGGAGGACCCAACTTTGAGCAGCACAGAGGGTAGCAGCACAGATCTGACCATTCAAAATATGGTCAGATTATATGAGCTTACCATGAGAGAGTAAAATTTAGGCACAATAATTTAGTTTTGATAGGGTAAGCAATAACAGTTAACTGAATCACCATGAAATGAGATGTGGCATGGTGAGAACAACTTCAGGACTGTCTAGTAATGAAACACTTGATGGATGGAGCAGCAAACTGCTCCAGACAGAGGGCATAGCCAGGAGACTTCCATGGCACTAGCATGAGCTGACGAAGGAGTCTGCCTGTGGAGGAACTGGGAGGATGCTGGTGCCTTTCAGAGATCCTGAAAAACTGGGTGTGGGATCACATAGGTGAGGAAAGCAGCCATCAAGCCTTGCTGTTTGTCTGTAGTGCTGTGCATATACTCAAGGCACTGAGCATGCAGAACTGAAGGTACAGATATGAAGAACACCAGCACACAGATTATGGCTGAAACCACTGGGAATGCCTGATCCCTCTGAGAAAAGAGAAGCAAAAATACTCGGCGCTGTCGTGGCGGGTTTGCTGAAGAAGACCACTGGCCTTGTGGGACTGGCTGTATGTGACACTCTGCATGAGAGGCTAAGAATATTGTACACAAAGATTCTTGATGTTCTTGAGCAAATCCCTAAAAATGCAGCATATAGGAAGTACACAGAACAGATTACCAATGAGAAGCTGGGTATTGTTAAAGCAAAAACAGATGTTAAAAAATTAGAGGATCGGCTTCAGGGTGGTGAAATAGAAGAGGTGAGTCTTCAGGCTGAAAATGAACTAAGTCTGGCAAGAAAAATAATACAATGGAAACCATGGGAACCTTTAGTGGAAGAGCCTCCTGCCAACCAGTGGAAATGGCCAATATAATGACATGTGTGTTGATGAGAAACTGATGCAATTAAATGTTCTGTTAAATTTAAAAAAAAAAAAAAAGAGAGAAGCAAAAATAGGGCCGGGGCTGAGATTGAGCTTCAACACCTAGACTCCCATTGCTGTTTCCTCTACTGAGAACAGATTTTCTCTGGATTGCTGCTTTTAATTCTGTCTTCACTTATTTAGGAAATATTAAAGACCCAATAGTTTATCAGACTGAGGATGCTATATATTTATAGATGTTCTCTAAGGTACCTTCTAAAAACTATGCCTATATTGCCCCATAGTCAGTACAGCCAAATACAAGCACCTGCAAGGAGATGCTTAATTTCTAAAGAATAAAACCCTGAAAACACAACCCCAGTGTTGTTTGTAATCCACTGCTACATTTTTAAATGCCAGAAACAGATTCAGGCCAAGATGGCCACTGGGGGCTAAGACCATTATGATGAGTGTTTGATGGACATTAATATATCACCAGAGCAACATGCACAGACACAAGTAGCACCACACACACACACTAACCCAGGAAGGGGTTAATCTGAATATTACTCCTAGTGGGTCAACCAAATCTTAGCTGTCATGTGATGTGAACATTCATGAAATACACATATTCCCAGTCATGTATTCAGGGTACAGCTTGACTTCATAAAACCTTTAGATCTAGCTTCCAGTTAGAGGGAAGTCAAAGATTAGAGAAACTGGCTTAATAGCAACATTGAAAACAATGAGGCAAGTCCAGAGGGTAGGACCTTCTGCAGGATAAATGACCTGATCTCTCCTGAAAGTCCATGTCATGAGAATGGGACTATGCTAAATTAAACAAGTTTTAAGAGATTTAAAAAAACAGATTTAGTGTATCATCCTGTCATCCTGGAGTGATTACTAGATAGGACAAATCAGTTACAAAGGCTTTGGGGAGCGAATTTCTAAGATTCAAGTGTATTTTGAGTATTAGATGAAAATTCCCTGAAATGGAAAGGTGCTGACAATTGGCAAAGGCAGACTGAGGAAGAACATCCACAATATAATGTTGGTTTGGTTAAAAATATATAATGGAGGGACATAGAGGGGGCAAGAAAAGAGCCATGAAGACATTTGCTAAAGTGTTAAGTGTTGACCTGTGAATGATGGGAATGTGATGAGTTTTGTTTTGCTTGTCTGTGTTTTCCAATTTCCTACAGTTGTACATTACTACATTTCTGTGCTATTAAAATGGCCATTTGAACAGTTTGGTGCATAGAAGGGAATGAGGGAGAAGACCAGGTGAAATATGGAAGTATAATCCTGGGAAAATGAAACTCCACAGTACGGCTTTGTGTGTGATTTCAAAGGTTCTGTGAACCTCATCAGTTTCTCCTAAAAGCACCAGTGCTGCCCCCAACCTTCCTCCTCCCTTCTGTCCAGTCAAAGCTCTCCATTCTCTTAAGAAACTCAAGTTCCTAACTTAGAGCAGACATGCTTGGACTCACAGTCTCATTTGTTATATGAGAACCCAAAAGCAGTAAGGGAATAGATTTCTTCTAGTTTCTTCTCATTACAAGTTTGACTTTTTTCATATTTAAATTTACTTGGATCATTGAAACCTACAGATGCCCTTGCCATCCTGTATGCTTTTTGGAGTTACATCTTTGGAAATTAGCAGTGCAAGTTTCAGTGGAAATAACTCAGACGTTTGCCAAGTCTCTGACCCTGTCTATCCCCAGACAGAGAACGAAGTTCTCACCATCTAGTCAAATCTTGTGTGACTCTGAAGGAAAGTGGGGGTGTGGGCTTGTCTCTCCTTTCCTGTCACCCTGGTAGACAGGTACTAAAACTGAAGAAAAAGGAGAGTCTTTTCATGAATATTTTCAAACATTTAAATATCTATAAATGTATTCTTTGGGAAGTCACTTGATAGGCTTAGTATTTACTTCAGACTCTTATTATATACAGAATATCTCCAAGTAGCTACTTCATCGTGAATGTGGCAGGATTAAATAAAGACATGCTTTTATTTAATCAAATGGATGTTGACATTTTTGAAATCTAACAGTAAAAGAAGCTCATCCCATCCTTCCCTGGCCTTTGTTAAAGAAGGGCATCATACCTTCACCCCCTGATTCTAGGAAGCCTGGACCCGTGGGTCTCGCTGGAATTCACACTGTTTCCTTCCCTCTCCACAGTCCCCTGCCTCAGAGGGGCTGCTCACTGGGGGACCTACAGCAAAGAGGTGGTTTCCCTCCATCATACCCAAAGTCTGGAAGAAGACAACCGACACATGTGTTATTGGTACTTCAGAAGAGTGAGTCACTCTAGAAAGTGATGCTCTGGTGAGTCTGTACTGGTAAGGCTCACACAACCTGCTTTGTGGTCAGTGGAAATGTGCTGGTTCTTCCTTGCTTCTCCTTCGGAGTCTCTAGAAATGTCTTTTTTTTCTTGACTTTTTCAAGTGATTTTTTTTCTTACATCAATCTTTAGCCTGTTTTCATGGGATATCTACAGTATTTAACTCTTCTAATACCCATGTGTTCGGCTGCTTAGGCTGCGTAACAAAATATCACACACTGGGTGACTTAAAGCAACAGACATTTAATGTTCTCACAGTTCTGGTGCTCGAAGTGCAAGACCAGGTGCTGCAAAGTTGGTTTCTGATGAACCCATTTTTCCTGGCTTGCAGACAGCAGCCTTCCGCTGTGTCCTAATGTGACTTTTCCTCCATGTGGAATGAGAGGGAGAGAGAAAGACGGGAAGGGACACTCACTGTATATACTTACTGCGTATTGAACTGGTTAATCACACAGAATAAATGAATCAATTAGATTAACTTTTGAACCCAGTACTATTGCTAACCGTGTGCTATGTCCTAGAATAAAGGAAATTAAATAGGACCAAATGAGTGATCTTTGATTGACTCTCAGATAGAAAAAAAATCTATAAGTATATCTGTAAAGGGCAGGAATGGCTACTGAGCAGGTTTTCTGATCCCATGCAGACCGGGTAAAGGAGGAGTCAGAGTCCTCAGTGGTTTTGCAGGTTTTATTGGGATTACCAGGTACACGGCAGGCAGGGGCGCTGCGGGGCCGGTAGGCTGGCAGGCCTCCCAGCCCCCAGCAGGTCTTCACTCTGGGCTCTCCGGCCTTCTCTCGGCTTCTGCTTCTCTTGCTTCTCTCTCTGCTTCTACTCATTCTTGACTTCTTCTGGCGTCCCCGTGATGCCACCCTTAAAAGCCCAGTCTTTCTGCCTAGGTGTACCCACTTCAGGTGCCTGCCATCAGGCATGCATTCAGGACCACAGGGTTCCCTCATCTATCCTAATGGCGGGAGGGCAGAAAAGCCTGATACCTTTTACCTACCCTGCAGTCCACCCCCTCAGGGTTTTCTGCCATACAATCTACATATATACAATTTTCTTAGCAAACATAAACAATGCAGCCATGGCCCACAAAAGCAAATACATCGCAATATAACAAAATACAACAGAACACAAAGTCCAGGCAGGGCCCCAACCTAGTGGCAAAAGACAATTATTGGTACCAGCAGATGAGCCACCAAATCTGCTGCCGAAGGCACTGCTCATGCAAGGAAGGGGAACCACTCACAGCATCTACTGTAACATGCCAGGAGCCATCAGGCTTCCTGGTCTTCTCTGGCTGTGGTCTCAGCCACTAGCCACACACAGCATCCACCCCCAGGATGCACTCACTCTGGGATTGGCGATTCTATTATACTGTTGGTGGTAATCGCCAACCCTCAGGGTTTCTGTCTGCTGTCACTCCAACACTCGGCTTTCTCAGCCACCAATGCGACTCACAGACCCCTGCACTCAGGCCAACCCACTGAGCAAGCACATGGGTCGGGGATCCAAACTCTACACGCGGCCTCTCTCGGGTCCCCTCTTCGGCTTGGGCTCCACCCCAAGCCACGTTCCCCACCTGTCTCCCAAGGACAGGTTCTTCAGCTCCTCACCCTCACTCGAGAATGAGCAGGGCATCACCCACAGGTGATTTTACAAGACTCACTGGCCTTCCTCAGCTTACTTAGTGCTTATCAGCCACTCAGGGCTTCCCAAACTTAGCATCAGTACCAGCTTTTGCCTTCTCAGTTGGCTTTTCTCCTCCGCCTGGCTGCTGGGCATAGACAGGCTGCTTTTGGCCATCAAGGGCCACTGGCCACCCCCAGATTCCCATCTCCTGGGGTGTACAAACAATAGCATCCTCCCCCAGGGTCCCAAAAACTTAACTTGCCAAAGTTCCTCAGCCTTCTGGCAGGATTGTCAGTCCAATTTCATCAGTCCATCAGTGCAAGTCCGTTGGCCTCTCCCTGCATCAGCACTGGCGAGTTCTGAATTGTGGTCCTCTCCTCCCCGACGATTCTGCTGCCTCAGGGGTCGTTGGCTGGTCCTCTCGGGCATCTCCTCCACGCGAGGTCTCGTCCCGCAGTTCCTGGACCTTGTCCCACTCCTGTGACACCATGACGCCTCCAGCGTTGTCACAAGCAAACAGTCTGTTACTCCTTAGTCCCTTCAGAGAGCTCCAATACCCATCTGCATGGATCATCTTGCCGATTTACACCAATTATAAGGTCAGGAATGGACACTGTGCAGGTTTTCTAAGATCCCATGCAGACCGGGTAAAGGAGGAGTCAGAGTCCTCAGTGGTTTTGCAGGTTTTTATTGGGATTACCAGGTACACGGCAGGCAGGGGTGCTGGGGGGCCGGTAGGCCTCCCAGCCCCCAGCAGGTCTTCACTCTGGGCTCTCTGGCCTCTCGGCTTCTGCTTCTCTTGCTCTTCTCTCTGCTTCTACTCGTTCTTGGCTTTTTCTGGCGTCCGCATGACACCACCCTTAAAAGCCCAGTCTTTCAGCCTAGGTGTACCCACTTCAGGTGCCTGCCATCAGGCATGCATTCAGGAACACAGGGTTCCCTCATCTATCCTAATGGCGGGAGGGCAGAAAAGCCTGATACCTTTTACCTACCCTACAATATCCTTGGGACAATTCAGTGAAAATAGACAGTGTATTAGTTTATAATAATATGTCAATATTACTTTTTTTGGTAGGAAAAATGGTATTTTCATTATGTAGAATGTCCTTTTTCCCCCCAGAAATAAATTATCAAATAGTTAGGGGTGAAATGTCATTTTTTGTTTTCAAATGGTTCTGGAAAGAAAAGAGAAAGAAATGTGCAGATACAGAGAAGAGAGCACACAGATTTAGCAAAACTTAACATTTTGGTGAATCCAGATTAAAGGTATATGGATGTATATTCCTTTCATCTTTTCCGTGGATTGATACTTCCAAGTTTAAAGTGTCAGGAAAAACAAGTAATGGATTGAGACTGACTTTGTCATGAAGGTGTACCATTCATGCAAGAAGCATTTCCTGAGTACCTACTGTGTACAAGTCCTGTTGTCAGTGTTGGGAATGTAGCAGTGGATAGAACAGATGAAGCTGGGGTTCTCATATGTCTACATTTTAGTGTGGAGGGCAAGTGAGAAAATAGGATCATTTTTGATCAAGGAATGCTTCCCTAAGGAGATCTGCGAGCTGAGAACTGAATGACTAGAAGCAGCCTTTTGTTGCTTTCACAGGTTTGCATTGAACACCAGCTATGTGTGCTCTTCAAGGTACTGGGGTGTAACAGTGATCTAAACGGATTAAGGCTCTCCCTTTTAGGACAAACAATAAACAGGAATACATAAATTCATGGTCAGTGTCACAGAGGAAAATAAAGTAGGGAGGGGAGTAGTTCGTGAGGACAGAAGTTGAAATTGTAGCTTGGAAAAGGCTCACCAAGCAGGCGGCATAAAGGGCAAGAGGGAGGATGCTAAAAGGAGATGTATCGTGAGGGCCCTATGGGCCATGGTAATGACTTTGACGTGTACTAGGGAAACGGATCTTTTGGAGAGGGTTCTGGACAGTAACATAACCCTTATCTTCCGAAAGGATGGCCCTGGGCATTGACTTGAGAACAGGTGTGAAGGAGCAAGGGCAGATGCAAGGACACCACAGGTTAAGCATCTCCTGCAGTAATTTAAGTGAGAGGTAGCTTGTGCAAGGGTGATAGCAGCAAAGGTTTGGATTCTGAATCTGTTTTGAAGGCAAAGCTACCAATATTTCCTGCTAACTGATTAGAAATGGAATGTGAAAGAAAAAAAAAAGAATCCCAGATAACTGAAGTTTTGGCCTGAAAAACCAAAAGGATGGGAGCTGCTGTTCACCGAAGTCAGAAAAGAAAGACTGCTCAAGGAGTAAGTTTGAGAGGAAATAAGGGGCTGGATGAGCAGGGGGGTCTGAATGAGAGGGTCATTAGCAGTCAGGCAAAAGCCCGAAGTTCTGAGAATTCCACAGTAGGCTTGTGTATGGATAACTAGGATTGTCCTGTATAAATCTTTTCATAGAGTTTTTTCCACTTACAAATTAACCCTAGTAATTTGAGGGCTACCAGCTCAGAAAGAAGGTTAACGCTGGGTGCAGTGACTTCTGTCGCTCACTCTAGCTTCCACCTGGAGCTGCTGTAGGAAGGAGCTCCCTTGTTCTGGGTGCTGAGTAGAAGTTTTGGTGGGAAGGGGGAATTTGTGCTGTGTGTGAATTTGGCCCTGTTCACAGCGACAGGCAGCGTGGTGGGCGTGGCCTGCAAGATTCAGTCAGAGTGTAGCAATGGTTCCCAGACATTTTTTGCCAGTGACCCCTTAGACATGTGACTAAGTTTCACAGACAGCCTTTCAGTTTTGGACCCAAATTTTCCTTCCTTCTATGCCCCACGCCTGCATCCATGAGGGGAAACACATTCTAAGCATATTTTGTTCCTCAAGAGCAGGCTCTGGCAGCTTTTAAGACTATTCATTCACATTCCATTGCCTCTTCTGCTCTCCCTCCAGGATTCCTACAGAGGCTGCTCTTAAAATAATGAGGCCTTCTTTATTCAGATTCTTCCTCCCCCAGGAAGATGCTGAGAGCATTTCATGAGAATTCTTCAAGGATTGCTGAGGTTCTGTGGAACTTCAGAAAGTGTACTTGAAAGGGAGACTGAAACAACTGGGCCCTCAGTGGATGCTCATTGATGGAGAAGATGGACCTTGAACCGCTCTGCTAGGCCCTTCTTTCTGCAGTCAGTATGACCTGTTGACTGTGGACCAGGTCAGGAGTACACTCCAGGAAGCTTCCCTTTCTAGCCTA